GCTTATGAATAACTGACCCACCTCTCACAGGCAATGGGCTCATTAGCATGAACATGGGACGGATGAGCGGGAGAGGGAATGTACCAAGGAGCGGTGGACCGAGAAGATTGTGACCTCTTGGCACCCCAGCCGGTGGGAGGAAAGAGGCAGGGTCTGTGCATCGGGGAAAGGGAATAAAAGGCAGTGTCTTTTGTGGAAATGGCGCGCTGCCTGTGAGGTGGGAGCCCCCTCTTGCAAGAACGTTGTAAACTAAAGCTGCTTGGTACTTTGTCTCCTGGGTCATCATTCCTTGGAACCTAATTCCGTTCCTAACAAAGCCAAGTATAATCAGGGCCAAGGATCACTCAATAAACTCTAAAGATTAAGTTTCTGGGGAAAAATATGTTTTGCGGCTTCAGGTAGTTTAAAATTATTGCAAATTATTGCCCCGAGGCTTTTGCGAATGGGGTGGCATATCAGTATTCCAAATAAATACATTCCAAATAAATAAATGATAACTGTTTGTGATTCCAAGGTCCTTTTTTCTTGTTTTGCTTGTGTTCAAGAAGAGACCAGATCTAACAGATGCGACCTATTAAAAGCTGTGCTTGTAACAGTCGTGGGGATTTTGCTTCTGGCTAGCCAAGCTGGCAGTCTGATGCTGGTCAAGGACCTCTCCCTACAATACAGTAGCATTCATAAAAGTATGTCCAATTGCTCCTTTCCCTTTAATTGGGCTGCAGTTTTCTCTAAACTTAAAAATTTTTCCTTTCACAGCAGTAAGCCCTGTGAGGATGTGCCCCACAGCTGATGGGGAAATGCCAGCCCCATATCCCCACACCAAAACCTCTGTGGAAATTCTAGGGTCAGTTGGTAGACCTGTGGAAAGCAGACCAGCCCTCCCCAAAAGAAACTGCTCTTCTCTAATGTGGCACCTTCCAGAGAAGCTGGATAACAATTCCCACCATCATAGCTAGGGGATGATGGGGATCATTAGCCAGCTCCTCTGGAGGGTGCCACACTGAGGAAAACTGAAATAGACCAAAGGCCCTAGAGAAGTCCTGAGCTGATGTTCCTTTCCCAGAGAAGTGCAGAAAAGAAACTGGAACCCTAGGCACGACTGGGAAGAAAAAAGTCCCACAATTCCCAGAATTCCAGCTGGGGAATGCTGGGAGCTGTAGGCTTTTTGTTTCCTATCTAGGCATGCAGGGGATAGTGCCTTAAAGGCATTATTTGGGGGATTCTCCGTCTCATAAACTCCTTGACCTTTCAAAGACAGAAAGGCTACAGTATGGGCTTCCAAGCTGGATGGAAAAAATCCATCCTTCCAATGGCAGCCCCAAATCTCCCACCTTGCTCATTTAAAGTGAAGGGGATACTTCCTTTGTCATCCCCAAGATCAAAGCTGGAGGCACTGCTTTTGCCTTCTCTTTTTTTAATTACAATGAAGCATGCAAAGCAAACCGCTGCAAACCTTTATCACTGGTATTTAATACCTATCATCATCATCATCATCATCATCATCATCATCATCATCATTACAGGACCAGCCTCCTTCCCCATGCTCTGTTCTCCTCAGAAGCATTCACAAGTTGAAAGATTCTCGACCCTCACATGTGTCCAAAAGACAGTGCCTCTTCCCCTCCAACCATTGGTCCTTTCTTCCCTCCCTGTTCCAATCAAACCTCCTGAAAAAAGCTGAGGCGGCCCAGTGAATGCTGGGACTTGTCTTCCCCCACATCCCAAATTTTGGAAATTGCTATTTGTGTGTAGTGGGTTTTGCATCTTGCTCTTCAGCCAGAGGATACTGCTTGCTGTGTGCTCACCTGGAAAAGTTTAGGTGACCATAATTATTTTTTGAAAAACATTCCTTGGCTTTATTAAAAACCTCATCACATAAATCCTCTAGCTGTTGTACAGGGGAATAAAGAGAGGGGGTTTTCTGGAGGGTGAGTTTCAAGATACAACTTATTTTTATCTGTGCCACATGAGATCCTTTGTAATGTACTGTCCAACTGACTCCAACTTATGGCAACCCTGTGAATGGGATCTCCAACTATCCTGTCCTTCACAGCCCTGCTCAGCTCTTGGAAACCGCAAGATCTTAAAGTGGTTTAAATCAAAAAGACAATATAAAATTAGTAAGTAGTTGCATGGAATACGCTTCCCAGAGAGGTCTGCCTGGCACCATCATTATATGCTTTTCAGCACCAGGTCAAGACTTTTTTATTTGATCAATATTTTAATGTTAATCAATTGTAATTGTATATTTATTTATTTAATTTATTTTAACCATGTCATTTTTATGCTCAGTTCGTGGTATAGCCAATTTATTTTGTTTTAGGATTCATCATATTCTGTAAGCCAACCAGAGACGACAGTGATTGACGGCCTGTAAATCTCCTAATTAAGTAAGTAAGCAAGCAAGCAAGCAAATAAATGCATTTTAAGTATTACAAAAGCGGTAGAGCAAGGCAGTGCGGTTATAAGTTGGTAAAGGGGTGTGCCTAATACGAGCTGAACATGTGCTGTGATCCTGCTTGGCCCTGAACCTTTCATTTGGAGCCCAAATGCCCTCCGTCCCAGCACCTTCCTGTCCGAGGAACTTGCCGAACAAAACGATGGCACTCTGAACATCAGATCTCCTTCGATGACATCGCTTTTGACTCCCGGGTGCTTCACCTCCTCCTCGCTCCTCCCCAACTCTCTAAATTAAGCATATGCACATTTGTGTATTTGTTTTTGTCCTGTGGGTAGAAGCCGGGGACCATTTCAGTATTCTTAGGATTGAAGGAACCTAAGCTCCACCGTATCTCAGAAAGCCTGAAACTGGTAAGAATGGTTTTAGACTGTTAAATGGGATGCTTATCTGATCAGACTGCCCTGAATCGGCTTCCTCTTTTGTCCCTGACTTAATCCATTCAACCTTTTTTCCACTATCCTGTGCCTTTTGCAATGACTAAGATATTATAAAAGCATATTGTATAGCTAAATTCTTCCCCCTCCTATCGTTTTTTTGCTACCCATGCAAGCATTTTTCTGGTATGTCTGAATAAACAGCAATGCTCTCTTGCTGGTTCTCTCTGGGTTCTGTTGGTATCCCTGGATTGCTAGACTGGACTTGTCCTGATCCAATCTAGAGCTTATGCTCACACCAAAACCAGCTATCAGTCTTTCTGTTTTTGCCACATGTCACCTCCTTTAGTATTCAGAAAACATGGATATAATGTGCCTATTGTACAAATTCGGCGAATGGGGCGGCATAAAAATGTTTTAATAAATAAATAAATAATAAATAAATAAATAAATAAATAGATAGATAGATATTGTCTTCATTGGAAGCTGTGGAGTTTCTTTTTCTTTTAAAACAATGGTATTCCCAAAGACCAAAACAAACCTACATTAAGTCAGTTTATATTAACACATTTTTCCACTTTATATTTTTAAGATGGACTGACTCCATGAAGGAAGCCACAGCCTTGGACTTGGAATTGCTCAGCAGGGCTGTCGTGGCCGGACATTTTGGAGGGCTTTCACTGATAGAATCACCATGAATTGGAGATGCCTTGACAGCACATCACAGCTGCATTCTTTGGTTTATTACTACTGCTATTACTATTGGGATCTCGATTCGTATTAATACTGTAACGTGAATGGTAGGGTTATAGGCAGGTTCAAGATGCAGATGTAGGCCCCTACTTGAGAGTGAAGATCAAAACATCAACTGCTAGATACAGATTTAACACAGGCCTGTTTTAGCTCCACATAATGCAATAAAGGCTCAAAAACCATAATTGCGGCGAAGATTGCATTTGCTCAGCATTGGAGGAGTGAAGAACCACCTACTGATGAACTGATCTTAAAAAAGATCTTGAACTGTGCGGAAATGGACAGATTGACCTTGCCTCTGAAGGAGAAAGAAGATACAGACTTCTATCAAACCTGGGACTCTTTTTATTATTGGCTAGAGAAACAGGACTGCATAGATCTAAATATGTTTACGGATTGTTATTAAAAAAAAAGTGTGGGGGGCTGACCCAGTAGGTCTGACGTTTCTGATGATTGATGTTTTTTAGTTTCTTTTTGTTAGTTGGTAGAAAAATAATAGTAAAACTTACTTTTAAAAAATAATAATTGTGCGTCTTCCGTTAACTACAACATTATTGCAGTGATGTGAGAGTGCTGCCCAGTTGCACTGCCTAAACATTGGGGAATGTGAAGATATTCTTCACATGCTTGCCTTCAACATCATAAGAATTATGATGGGATTTTAGAATGAGGTGACAAAGCAGCAGCAGATCTTAAAGCAAAATGTTAGTTGATATTGGTGGCTGGGGGTGAATAAAAATCAGAACAAACATTTCTTAATGTGACTCACTCCAGCTATTAGTAAGATACTTCAGAGCAACTCCAAAGTTGGTAGACTCCTTAGTATTTTTTACGAAGTGCCAAACAAGAGTGAAAAATGCTGTATTATCTTCACTGAACTGATGTCCTGCCTTTTTTCCTCATGTGAGCTACTCAAGAAAGCTGTTTTATCCCCACCACAACAACCCTGTGAGGTAGGATGGGCTGAGAGTCTGTGACTGACCCAAAGTCACCCAGTTGGCTCCATGGCTGAGCGGGGACTAGAACCCAGATCGTCTGAGTCCCAGTCCCATGCTCTTAATCACTACTTCACACTGGATCCCAGTAAATGTAAAGCTTCAAACTTCTATTTTATACTGTAAGTTTAAACTTTTAAATTTTAAAAGCTTATTTAAAGTGAATTTAAAGGTTGTGTTTTGAAGTCTTCATTGTTATGAACTGCCCAGTGAGCTTCTGCCATTGGGCACTTTAGAAATGTAATAAATAAATAAATGGACACATCAGACATTTAAGAGCCTGGATCACAAGCACACCTAGTGAATAAAAATGCCTTTATCTGGAATCAGACGGGGGGAAATCAATCTTTTTTTTTTTTAATGACAAAATAACCCTCTTGGCAAACATACCAAGTTTTTGTTGTCTAGGTTTTGTGGTCTTGGAGCTACGGCAGTGATAGATGGACAGAGAGACACAGTTCTTCTTTTATTATGATAAATACAAACACTTCACAAGGATATTCAAGGGAAAAATGGTGGCGAAGGCTCAGGAAAGAAGGACCGTGTGCCATACCCTGGACTCCTAGGAGGGAAGGCAGGAGGGAGAGGAATTCTCAAAATGCTGAAGTTCAACCTTTTGTACTTTTAATACATATTGGCTATTAACAGCACGTGGCTGATTTGTTTTTTAACCTTTGTTTTTCAACAGCAAACACACACACCAACACCACTTTTTATGCAAACCTCCTCGGAGAAGTTCAAGGTGCCCTTGGCTTAGCAGAATTCTTTCTGTGGTTCTTTCAACTAGGTCTACCACTCTCATTTTAACCTTGCAGAGTCAAGGTAGCTTCTTTAAATAAGAAATTTGGGGTAATGATCCATGTGGCACAATATGCCTTCTTAAAATGTCATTTATTCATGTATTTTTGACTGGGGAGAAAACTTGCAATAGTATCCAAGGCTAGCTAGACTGTAATGCTTTTTTAAAATACATTTCATTCTCACTTAAGCAGTTTCTCCCAGGTGTATTCTCATATGTCTAATAAGGTTCTCTCGCCGATTGAAGCGTTCCCCACATTCAGAACAACGATATGGTTGTTCTCCTGTGTGGATTCTCTGATGGCGGAGCAGATCCTGGCTCCAGCTGAAGCTTTTCCCACATTCAGAGCATTTGAACTGTTTTTCTCCAGTGTGGATTCTCTGATGGCTAATCAGGTTCTGACTTAGGTTGAAACTTTTTCCACACTGAGAGCAGGTATATGGTTTCTCTCCTGTGTGAATTCTCTGGTGGCTAATAAGCGATTGGCTCAAGCGGAAACTTTTCCCACACTCGTAGCATTTATACAATTTATCGTCAGTGTGGCTGCTCCGATGTCTTGTAAGGTTCTGGCTGCGGCTGAAACTTTTGCCACATTCTAAACACTTGTGCAGTTTCTCTCCGGTGTGAATTCTCTGGTGACTCCGGAGGTTCTGACTCCGGTTGAAAGTCTTCCCACATTCTGAGCACTGGTATGGTCTCTCTCCAGTGTGGGTTCTCTGGTGGCTAATAAGAGACTGGCTCAGATCAAAGCTTTTGCCACACTCATCACACTCATATGGCCTCTCCCCCGTATGGGTCCTCTGATGCCTATTAAGGCTCGATTTGTCGCAAAAGGTCTTGCTACACACAGAGCATACATACGGTTTCTCCCCTGTGTGGGTTCTGTGGTGGGAAGCCAGGTTTGTGTTCCGACTGAAGCTCTTCCCACAGTACATACACTGATATGGCTTTTCCCCGGTGTGTGTTCTTTGGTGTCTCTTAAGGTTTGAGTCATCCCTGAATACCTTCCCACACAGAGTGCATTTGAACCTGTCCTCTCCAGTGTTTATTGTTTGCTGGACTTCTGAGAAGTCGCCACTTTCAAAAGTAAAGGATTCTTTCCTTGAGTTCTCCATTAGGCTTCTGTCCTGCCTTTGCTCCTGATTCTCAGACCCTCTTTCCACATCTTGGGTCAAACCCCTTTCCGGCAATATCCCAGGATTTTTTCCTTCATTCTTGGTCTCCCAGCTGTCATCTGCCAAAATAAAGAGAATAACCTTTTAATACCCCAAATCACCTTCTTCCTGGTCTTTCTAATCTCCCCATGTCCTTTCCCTTTATTCCCTTCTGTTGGTTTTCTTTATGTTTTGCTCTCTTTAATTTTTTTTGGCAAGGAGTTCAAAGTGGCTTCCATAATTCTCCCCTTCCTTACCCTTTGAGCCTCAGCACAATCCTGTGAGGTGGGTTAGCCTGCGAGAAAGAAACTGGCCCAAAATCACCCAATTTTGAAACACATTTTAAAATCTTAGTAACACAAAATTAAAATTAGGAAGGACAGGAAGCATGATAGGCACTGAAAGGAGAGCCTGTGGGTCCACCGCTGCCTAGGGGCGACCCCAGTGTGGAAGGGACACACTCAGTAGTCACAGAGTATGAAAATAAAAAGCCGGGGCCCATTCTGTTCACACCATGCCCACCCATCCACTTTTCTCGCATCATGCATAACTTTCATAGAATTATGGAAGGGTAGAGTTAGAAAGGGCCACGAAGGCCACCGGATCCAACCCCCTGCTGTTGCAGGTCACCAGTTTATGCTGTCCCACTCAGTCGGCTGCCCAGTTTCCCCTTGAATGTCTCCAGTGCGGGAGAGCCCCCCACCTCTCCAGGCAGCTGGTTCCACTGTCCTATTGCTCTGACAGTGAGGAAGCTTTTCCTGATGTCCAGCCTGAAGCTGGGTTGTCGCAACTTGAATTGATTATTCCGTGCCCTACACGCTGGCATCAGAGTGATGACCTATAAAGCCCTAAACGGCTTGGGTCCTGGTTACCTAAAGGAGCGCTTACTTCCATATATGCCCAGCCGCCCCGTGAGATCAGCGGGAGAGGCCCTCCTCCGGGAGCCCTCAGTGAAGGAAATTAGGAGGGTGGTTACTTGGAGGAGGGCTTTCTCAGCGGTGGCGCCGAAGTTATGGAATGCGCTCCCCAGAGAGGTCCGCCTGGCACCGTTGTTATTTATTTTTCGGCGCCAGGCGAAGACCTTTTCATTTAAGCAGCATTTTAAATGTTAATACTATTGAATTTTATCTGGCCAGGGCGGCTTATTTTATTCTAATGTATTTTATTGTAATGTATTTTAATGTATTCTAATGTTATTTATATGGACCTAATTTATTGTTGTAAGCCGCCCCGAGGCTTCGGCGAACGGGGCGGCATAAAAATGTTTTAATAAATAAATAAAATAAATCAGCAAGAAGAGACCTTGACCTTCCTCTTTGGGACAGCCTTTGAGGTACTTCCAGAGGGATACCATGTCCCCCTCCCACCCAGCCTTCTCTTCTCAAGGCTGAACATGTCCAGTTCTCTTGGTCATCCTCATAGAGAAGTATTTCCAAACTCTGGAGCTTTTTTCTTGCCTTCCCCTGCAGAACTAGACACATTATTCCAGATAAGGTCTGACCAGTGCAGAGTAAAGGGAAACTATTACTTCTTGTGATTCCAAGGACAGGCTGGACACGCACATGGTAGGCCTGTCATGGGTGGAACCGGGTGCAGCCGGGGGTCAGACTTGGGAGGACCCTTCCGACTCACTTTCTTTCTCTGTTTCAGTCTACATACATGTAGACGGATTCTTCCCTATGTTATCTTGAATAGCCCCAGTCATTTGTATCCTTGTTAGGTCTGGCTAGACTGCTTGTGATGCTGTTGCTGCGGGACTGTCTTTGGAGATGGTTGGAAATATCCACTGGCCCAAAATCCAGCTGCCTTGTTTTGACCAAAACTTGGAGACTGTTGTCCTCGCAAATCCAATTTCACATTGTTCCCAGTGACTACCTACTTATTTCTGGGTGCCACTAAGTGTTGATGTTGAAGTCTAAGGGCTAAGATAACTTAGGAAGAATTTAAGCCTTAGGATCAGCATCAGAAACCCTGCTCTGTGCCTTCTCCAGTTAGAGATAGGGTAGGTGGGCACGAGAGACTGGACCTGTTCTGTGTTGGCACCTAAACTGCAATATGCCCTTTCTAGGGGGATCTGCAAGGCTTCCTTCTTCGTTTTCATTGCAATTTGCAGTTAAAATTCATTCATTCAGGCAGTCTTATGGATGTTGCATTAAAGACTGCTTACTTCTGCTTGTGCTGGTGATATTTTTGTAAGATCTTTTTAATTAAGCTTGGTGATTATTGTTTTGTTGCTGGCTCTCTTAAAACTGGAGTCTCAAATTCCCAGTCCAGTCTTGTGAACTGCAAAACAGCCTTCCTCGGGACTGACAAACCCAAGATTTAAGATAAGCTAGGGAGGATATGTTTGTTGTGTCCCTGAAGAAGTTGGCCTTCTTGAAGAAGTTGGCCTGTGGAGCTACCATACTTGACGGAGCCTTTTTGGTGGCGGCACCTCATTTAAAGCACTCACTTCCAGGTCCGGTTCTCACTTCCAGTTGCAAGCACGGCCCACGGTCAGGAATGCTGAAAGATGAAATGCGAAACTGTCTGGAGAACCAGTGTGATGTCGTGTTTCACACTGTGGGACTGTGACACAGGTTTTCTGGGTTCTAGTCCCCACTCAGCCACAGAGCCAACTGGGTGATTTTGGGCCAGTCACAGATTCTCAGCTCAGCCTATTGCACAAGATTGTTGTTGTGGGGATAAGTCTGAGAGCAGGAGAAGGAGAATCTTGCAAGCCTCTGAGTTGTTAAAAAAAGAAAAAGAAAAAAGGCAGGATATACATCTAAGAAATAAAATAATAACACTAAATATTTTCTGAATGCCTCTGGTTTATATGTGGCACTGTTTGTTTGTTTGTTTATTTATTTAAAACTTTTGTACCCCATCCTATACATAAAAGTCTCGGGACAATCCAACAACAAAGGCACAGCATGATATCTACAACAAAAGCCTAATTAAAATAAAAAGTAGGTCTTAAAATAATGGGAAAATAAAAAGTTTTGGCCTGGCGCTGAAAAGAATAAAGTGTCAGCACCAGGCACACTTTTCTGGGGCGTATGTTCCACAATCGGGGTGCCACTGTGGAGAAGGCACAGGTAGCCACTCTCCTAATCTCCTTCAAAGAGGGCTCCTGAAGAAGGTCCTCTGACCCAGACCTTAAGGGGTGGGCAGGCACATAGGGAAGGAGATGCTCCTTCAGATAACTAGGTCCTAAATCATTTAGGGCTTTATAAGTTATCACCAACACCTTAAATTGGGCCTGGACTTCGATCAGTAGTCAGTGTAGATGATAAAGGACCAGCGGTACGTGTGTATACCTGCCAGTCCCTGTCAACATTCTGGCTGCTCTATTTCTGATCAAGTGAAGTATCCGGACTGTTTTCAAGGGCAGCCCCATAGTAGAGCACGTTACAATGATCCAATTGGGAAGCTACCAGAGCATGGTCCACCGTAGCCAGGCATTGCTTATTCAGGTAAGGACACAGTTGATGGATCAGCCAAAGATGACGGAAAGCACTCCTTGCCGCTGCCTCCACCTGAGACTTCAGGGACAGCTCTGGGTCAAGGAGTACTCCCAAACTGCGTACCTGGCCTTTAGGGGGGAGTGCAACCCCCGTCCAGGACAGGGCAAAGATCACTTATCTGGAAAGCTGAACCACCTACCAACAGGACCTCTGTCTTGTCTGGATTCAGCCTCAATTTACTGGCTCTCATCCAGCCCATCACATCGGACAGGCACTGGTTTTATATGAGTGGTTAGCCACCCTGGCTCCTTGTAGGCAAAGGCCAGCTAAAGATTACCAGCAGCTTTCTTGGATTAGTGCTGGGGACTTGTAAAATATTTATCTTTTCTTCATGCATAGCAGCCCAATACCTGCAGTCTTTTGTCTCCTCTGCATTCCTTCTACTAACAAAGTAAGGGGGGAACTGCAAGGAAGAAGGCTTTTTCAATCACAGTGCCTCAACTCTAGAATTCAATCCCACTGGAAGCTTGGTTGGTGCCACCCTCTTTCTATTAGGTGCCAACGTAAGCATTTGGTTTCACGGTTATTTTCACAGGTGAACTCTTGATTTTTTTCTCAGCGATGATTTTAGGATTTTGTACCACTAAATGCTGCTGCCCTGTATTTTATTAAATTATGCTAGATATTGATATTAATTATGCTTTAATTGGTTTATGTTCTTTTATTTTTTGAATCCCCATGTATGCTATTTATTTATTTATCTGTTTATCTTCCTTTTTTGTCTTATTTAATTTTAGTAGTTTTTACTCATGGATTTTTATTGTTTATTTGTTTTATTGTGAATTGTGGATTTTATTGAATAGTATATTGTGTTGTATTTTGTATTGTACATTATGGATTTTATTGTGTTGTGAGTCAGCCAGAAAGCCTATCGCTACTGGAGCACCAAACAATCATATAAATAAATAAACCTTGCAAAATAAAAATGGTTAGGATTTATAACTCACCAGCCTTCGCCAAGAGGGAAATGTTCTCTTGTGATAGCCATGGTAACGCCTTGACCTCTTCTGCTGATGTGAGCCGTTTCCGCCAATGATCCGCCATCCCATTCTCTCCTGTGGCCTTATTACCTTTGGGACAGAAAGAATCTGGAAAACCAGTGTAAAAAGCTTCTTTTTCCCTACTCCACCACAAGTGGCCTTTAATTCATTCCTGCCCCAGTGTTTCTTCTCCACAAGCTTCCTTCAGCTGCCGCACGAACCAACAGAAACATAAACCGAGTCGCAAACTGGTGAAAATGCACCAACTTATCAGCGTGCGATCCTTTCCGTAGAGGAGAAGATCAACATCTCAAACCATGGTATTGCTGAAAGAAACCCTGCACAAATCAGCTGCACGTATCAAATCACAGAACTTTGTCAAGGTGTAAAAGGGGAGCAAGGAACACGGGGTGTGTTGGAAACTTGGGGTGTGATACTACGCAGGTTTGGACAGAAAAAAGCAACAGCTCCCAGCGTACTTCCAGTAGTCATGATTTATTTATTCCTATATTGCCACTCAGTTGTGTGCTCCGTACATTTGTACATAGGCAGTATGATACCGACAGTTATATTTTCAACAGGCTAGGTTTCTATAGGCAGGGATTCCTCTTTCTTTGATTTCATAGTTCTGTCGAGCAAGAGAGCTTTCACTCGTTCCCCCCTTTGCCGTTTGAAAGGGGAACGCACAAGCTTGACGGCGGCCAAGATCCTAGACATACTAGCTTTCTACATGCGGGGTTTTTTAGAAATTTCGGTCATTTTCTATGGGGGAGCATTTAGTCATGTGAGTCCTATTTAAGGTGGCAGGCAGCTCAGGTCTTATCTCTTTCATGCTCTTCCTTACTACAAGCTCATTCTAAACTCACCAACCCCGCTGCAGCCGCTCATTCCGCACCCGTGGGAAATACAATGGCCACTTTCCCACACTCGAGGGGATGATGACCGGAAGTGATCCCGACAGCTTCTTCCTCCTTGCCTTGCGTCCTCTCTAGGAAGGCACATTCTGTCAGTTTAACCCCTGTATTGCTCCAGCCTATGCCTACTTAGGCAGAAAATAGTCCTACAAGTGCTAGCATGCCCTGGCATGGCTTTTCTCTTGCTCTTCTGTTCGTTTTACCAGAACCCAAAGAAGGTTTGCTGGATCAGACCCAGGGTTCATCTAGTCCAGCACTCCGTTCCCGTGGTGGGAAACCAGCTGCCCGTAGGATCCCTCCAGCAGGATGGGCGCAAGGCCTCCGCCTGCTAGCTCCTCAGCAGGCGGGTTGCACATGGCTAGCGGGGCTAGTAGCCTCCCCTGTCAGGAATCTGCCGGACCCCTTTGAAAGATATCCAGATGGGTGGCAGTGAATTGCATAGTTTGGCTATAGACTGAGTGAAGAAGTCCTTCCTTTGATCCGTCCTAAGCCTCCCACCCAGCAGCTTTATGGGGTGTCCTCACTGGCTTTGAGTGTTATGGAAGAAGGAGAAAATTCTCTCTGTCTCCACTTTCTCTACACCAGGCATAATTTTAAACACCTCCATCATATCTCCCTGAATGTGAGATAGACTGAATCCATAAAGGAAGCCACAGCCTTGAACCAAAAGCTGAACATAGAAACTTAGAAACAGAGCGAGTCAGAAGGGGCCACCCGAGGCATCTAGTCTGACCCTCGGCACCAGCCGACTCCGCTCATGGCATGCCCACCATGTGCATGTCTAGCCTATCCTTGAACACCCACACCGCTGGGGCCTCAACCACCTCCCGTGGAAGCCCATTCCATACCCTGGGGGTCCCAACTGTCAGGAACTACTTCCTGGCATCTAAATTGAACCTGGGTTCCCTGAGCTTTGCTCCGTTGGAGCGCGTCCTGCCTTCCTCTGCAGGGGAGAACAGGTCTCTGCCCACCTCCGTGTGACATCCCCTCACATACCTGTATGTCGCCAACAGATCCCCTCTGAGTCTCCTCTTCTCCAGGCTGAAAAGGCCCAGTTCCCTCAGTCTCACCTCATAAAAACGTATCACAACATGGTTGTGACAGCGCATTTTGGAAAGGTTTAATTCATGGGGTCGCCGTAAGTTGGAGACAACTTGACACAACAGTGTCGCGTCTCCCCTTCCTCACCTTTTTCCTGAGCCAAACAGTTCCCATGGTTGTAGCTGCTCCTCCTAGCAGAGCTGCTGCAACCCCAAGATTATTTTCGTTGTCCTTCTCTATACTCCCAAAGAAGGGAAATCAAACTACTTCCCACTTCCATTGTTTGGGAATGTAAAGTACAGGATGTGCTGAGAAAGAAGAGATAAAACCCTGTGATTGCCAAGGTCAGAAATGCAGTTAGAAATTGGGGCTTCTGGCCTAAACCGGTTTTGCATGCCTTGAAGATGTTAATGGAATGCAGCTTTCCAATATTAGCATGTCCGTAGTGCACCTTGTGTAATTTCTCTTGTGTGCACTGTCAGTTCAGAATAAACCTTAGTTTTTCCTACAAAATACTATGCATGGGTATGAAAACTGGACTGTGTAGAAAGCTGACAGGAAGAAAATTAAACATCATTTTAATTGTTAAAATACATGATCTGGCCAGGGCAACTTCTTCTTCCTTCTCTTTTCTCCTCCTATATTATTTATTTATTTTATACTGATAATTTTAATTTTATATTATTATGTTTGTAACTCAATGTATTTTTTGTATTTTTGTATTTAATGGTAATTTATTATGTTCTATTGTATTTCAATGTATTTTATTGTGTTGTAAGCCGCCCCGAGGCTTCGGCAAGGGGCGGCATAGAAATGTTATAATAATAATAATAATAATAATAATAATGATAATGATGATAATAATAATGATGGATGCATTTGAAACGTGGTGCTGGAAGAGAGTTTTGCAAATATCCTGGACTGACAGAGAGTCAAACTAGGGGATCCTAAACCCAATCAAGATCAGAGCTTTCCCTGGAAGCAAGAATTATAAAACTGAGACCACCATACTTTGGACACATCCTGAGAGGCCAAAGCTCTCTGGAGAAGACCATCCTGCCTAGGGAAAGACAAAGGCAGAAGACGAAAAAGACCAAATAAGACACAGATGGACTCCTTAAAGGAAGCCCCAGCCTTGAGTTTCCAAGAGTTGATCAGGGCTGGACATTTGTGGTGGTGGGGGGGGGTATTAATTCGTAGGGGCACCAAAAGTCAGACCTCATGGTGGGAGTTGTAGGAATTTTTGTCTGCCTAAACAGGCATAGAATTGCACCCTTAGACTCTGCATTTAATGTTCTTTATTTCATTTTGGTTTCATTTTCTTTATAACTTTTATAAAGTTAAGAGTAGTTAGGAGCATGAGTCTGGGATGCAGGGGATTTGGGTTCTAGTGCGCAGTCAGCCACAGAGCCTGCTGGCGACTTTGGGCCAGTCACAGACTCTCAGCCCAACCTACCTCACAGGGTTGTTGTTGTGGGGATAAGATGGAGGAGGAGAATAATGTAAGCCCCCTTGAGTTCCTGCAAGGGAAGAAGGTTGGACTATAAAAAAAAATACTTTGGTGTCAAATTTGGCTTTTAAATTCTGTATTGTGCTTAAAGATATGGTAATTGTTATTGTATGGTATGGTATTGCATCTGCTGTTCTGAACTGAAGACTGTATTCATCAACAGAACAGTATGAGAAAATTTCGGAGGGGACATGACATAACGTTACAGTAAATATCAGTGCTTAATAGAGTATTGATATGATTATTATTATTATTATTACTATAACATTTCTATGCCGCCCCTTGCCGAAGCCTTGGGGCGGCTTACAGCACAATAAAATACATTGAAATACAATAGAACATAATAAATTACCACTAAATGCAAAAATACACTGAGATACAAACATAATAATATAAAATTAAAATTAACAGTATAAAATAAGTAAATAAAGAATATAGGAGGAGAAAAGAGAAGGAAGAAGAAGTTGCCCTGGCCAGATCATATATTTTAATTGTTAAAATATATGATCTGGCCAGGGCAACTTCTT